ATTTATTTGATTTTTTCTATTATCTGTCTGATGTATGCTTGATTTGTTCTATTAATGTATTATTTTCTTAATAAATAAATTATTTTCTAATGTAAGGTCAGTCTACAGGTGGCCAAATGGTAAGCTTTTAAGTCAAATAATTCACTTTTAAACCTTACGATGTTAATTTTATACTGTTTTCCTTACTAAGCATATGAAACTCACTCTTTCCATCTCCAAATGAGGAAGAAAATAAGGAACCGTAGGCTGACTTACCCTTGAAAGTTTATGAGGATCCCGTGGATCCACAAAATTTGAGTGCATGATTATTTCTGTACTCTGTAAGTCCAATAGCAGAGTGAAAGAAGTGGCATTTTTTTGTGTTTTGTTTTTTTATATTTTGTAGTCACTTCAGGCCTTAATTATATGTATGTAATTGGAACTCATATATATATTTGCAAGTGATTTGTATTAATTGTTTCGCTACATAAAATTTTATCATGTACTCGTTATTCTGAATCTGTATCTGACACCCATTTGCTTTAATTAGCATATGAGATATCTAAAATTATATGCTTTTAATATATGCTAAGTAACTAAAAATAATTAGCCACTTAGCTACGTATTGGAACAAAAGCACATTAAAGGATATAAACATGCATCACAAAGAAACAATTACAAACTTAAAGTGTAAGGCATCCGATCAATCCCGATGGATATAGTTGAAAGGTTTTTTCTAGTTATACTACCCTAATGATGGTTACACTCTGCAACTGGGTAAGTTTCCTTATGCAATGTTTATGCAAAATTTTGGGATACAAAACAAGAAAAGTAAATTGACGCAGATGGTTTTCACTCACATAAGTGAGTTAATCTTCCTTTGCTTTGTGCAACAGAATGAAAACAAAATTTTTCACGCACATCTGGTAGGTGATGTAATCTTCTTTTGACACATCAAAGGTTTTCATCACATTGATAGGCGGTTACCCTTCTTTTATTTGGTTTGAATGCAAAAAAATGTGTCAATTGTTTTATGATGTGCAATTAGGATATTTTGGGTTTTTTAATTTTTTTTACTAATGAAATAAACACACAATCACTTGAATTGAACATATAAATGAATTCAAATGAGATACAAATCGAACTAACAATCAAAATTTTGAAATGTTAAATTTACACAAAAACACAATATGCTAAAGTAGTAAAGATAGTAGGTTCACTAGGAGTCTAAGTGTTGATACTAGATGATGCAGGAGGAGTTGGGGAAGGATCGTTTTGACTCTTGGAACCTCACACTATGTATGAATAAAAAGACTTAACCACCTAATCCACCATCCCTACTTGAAACTATACCCATTTATATGGTATGCAAAATCAAGATAATAGGAAAATAAAAAAATGAAAAAAAATCAAGATTTACTCGATAAGTTGATCCCAATTTTTCGGCTCAACAAGTGTTTAGAAGCTCCCTATCTTAAACAAACTTGAAAAATACTTAAGAAAATTAGCCAAGCTAATTTTAAGAAAAGTAAAAGCTTTACATTTTATTGAATAACTGAATTGTGATTACAATATAAGGACTAAAGTCTTTATACAGTTTTTTATTTACTAATTCGACTTGAAGTAGGATTACAAATTCCTACTTAAACACTTACATAAAATTTGACTAAAATACTTAAACAAAAATATTAAAATAATTAAGTCTTATCTAAACATAATTGAAATAATAAAAAATAATAAAATAATCTTCTCTCTTTATCCAAATCTCCAAGTGACTTGATCTTCTTTGAACTTCCAATTTGAGTAGAAATTCTCCTCCAATTTTGTACTTTAAGCACATCAGAATATTTGTAAAAGTCCATTACTTGCTAGAATCCTTGGAAAATTAGGAAAAGGTGAGAGAAAGAGCCCAAAAAGGGCTCACACAACTATTGCCCGCCAGTTGCGTGCAGGTAGTGTGCATTGGGCATGCAGATCACAAGCTCTTGGCGCATGGATCCTCCTTGCGTGCATGGTCGCTAGGGGGTGCGCATGGGTACTTCTGCACATGCATAGGGATTGTGTATGCTACTGGCTAGGTGCGCAATTATGTGCACGCGTTGTTGCGTGCAACTGATGCTGCCCGCACGCTCCACATACTGCTTCATGCGAGAAACAATCCCACGTGTGTTGATGAGCTTTCCCACACACGTGGTTGTCTACGCATGTGCCGAAAGGTCACATGCGCGGCACATGCTGTGTGGTAGTCTTCTAGGCCAAATAACTTCTTTTCGGTCTTCTTTGGGCTTCAATAGTGAAAATTCACCCATTCTTAGACCAAAAGATTGAAAATATTTTTAAATTTTTTTGCCTCGCTTCTTGTAATCGGACCTAGGGGCAATTTGATTTGATTACCTATTAGCCCTAACCGATCTTGGACATTTGTCTCTTTTCCATTTTGAGATGGAATTAAGGATAACTTGCATATAGCTTCTTCTTGAGTACTTATTGTGTTTGGAATCACATCAGCTTACTTCTCTCGAATGTTTGGGAAATGCAGCGACTGTCCTAGCTCACATCACTTCTTTTTTTCCTCATTTATCTTTTATTTCATCTTCTTTTTCATCTACTACTTACTCTTCTTCTTTGTTATCATCTTCTTTTTCTTCTTCTACTTATTTTTCTTTTTCTTCTTCGTATTCGTCATCATCATCTTATATAATAATCTTTTAAAAAATTGTTAAAGAAGAAAATAATTTATACTTATATACAAGTTAAAAACCTAATTGGTATTTGATTGAAGAAGAGGCATGAGTTGGTGGTGGGTTAGTCATGGGGTAAGAAGGAAATTGGTCATCATTTTTAATTATAGGCAAAAGTATGATGGAGAAAAATTTTAAAGCATAAATGGTTGAGATAATAAATAATGAATATTAGACAGCAAATTTGGAGGATAGATAAGGGCATAATTGACAATTCATACATAAAGTAAACTCTGCTAAAGAATCAAAGCGTCAGTAATCTTAAACTAATATATCTTTCGGCATATTTTTAAAATGGAATTATGATTATATCATGCTTATTCTTTTTTTTGTAATTTTTCTCATTTTTAAAACTGTGCCTCCATTCTTCGCTTAAAAAAAGTAATGCTGTACCGTCCATTCTTCGCTTAAAAAAAGTAATGCTTGTCCATAAAAAAACAAAAAGAGGTAATCACACGACAAACATAATCAATATGTTTTTTATGATCTCTGTAATGGGGTAAAAATTTTAAAATAAACATAAACAGCAAAAAAAAAAAAATAAATACATGTTCATTTTTAAGAGTAGAGTTTGAACGGATAGCTAAACCACCAGAATGTCATGGACGTAGTAAATTGCTCCTGGCAACAAAGCTATTTACCTCAAAAAGTCCACTATTTTACCATTCTTCAGCCTCCATTCTCACATTTCTTCAATCTAAAATGGCATATGTAGTAATAAAATATCTACGCAAAATTTCATAATTTGAGCTCACCCAAAGGTAAATATTTAAATAAACAAAAATTCCTCTGTTCAACTGCACAGTATTCACCTTTCAGTCTTTACGGCATCACATTAGAATATACTAGCCTGAGTCCACATCTCCGTATGGTAATGATTGTTTATGCACATCACATTACAGAAAAAAAATGTACAGTCAACTATTTCAACAATTATCTCCATTGCGTCAACTACAGAATTAAAACCATGTTGTAACTGAACCATCCTCCAATTGGGTCTCACACTGACGCTAACATGACTATGTTTATGATTTTATAAACTTCTTAGCCTTCTTTGAGAAACTTCTAACAATATTTCTGTTAGAAAATGTCAGAGGAAGTTCTTCATCAGCAGCCTCTCTTTGATCAGTCCAGCTTTGGGATGCACTTCCACTGCCACCATTGCCTACCCGAGATAATTCCTCGAGTATGTGAGGATCTTCAGGTATATCCCGATATAAATGCTTCAGTATGAAAAGTGCCGTATCATAATCTCTCCAATAATTTCTGCATATAAAAAGATTAACAAACAAAAAGGATATTTACACAAAGGAGCGCTTATAAAGGCATCGATAAATATAGACCTTCAAATATCAGATACAGTAATGTATGTTCAAGTGACTGAAGCATTATTGATGATTGTAATATTCCTGAATGATAGAGAACCAACATTTTCTGGATTTAATAAATGAAAGGATAGTATGTTAATGCAAAGCATCAAACCAGATAAGACATTGACACTAATAGAACCTACTTATATAGGATATTAACTCATTTAGTAAAAGAATTAAGGAAAATAGCTTTCTACTCTCAAGTCTACTAAGTAGAACTTTTCTCAGATCTACTACATTTTCCGTCAAGCTGAAGCTTGCATAAGCTTAACCTTGTTGCAAACAAGCTAAAAAGTAAATAAAAAAATTTCAACCAAATTAAAAACACTTGTAACTTTACTAATTAGACAAACCGGCTACAAATAGATTGCAAACTTCTGTGAACCACAACTTCCAAACAAGCTTAACCAACAAGGACCATGACCATAAACCTTCCATGAACAACTGCATACTTCAGAAAAAACTTTTCACCAAGTTTAAAACCTGTCAGGACCTGAAGATGGGGATAATTTCTGTTATTCTGTTAAAAATAAATAGCTGTTAAGAATTAGCTAAGAAGCATTCAAGTACGAAGGACACTGATACGCCAGCTGTCATTTGTACTTAGTACTAAGTTTTTATTTTTGTTTTATTCTCTCTGTAGGATGGGCATTGCAGTATATCATCTCTGGTTTGTAATAGGAAAATCATAAAGAAATTGGATGAAAATCTACTCTAAATTCTGTCCTCTCTAGCTCTCTCTTTTCTCTCTTCCCTACCTCTTCCTTCTCCTATCCCTACTGTTGTCAAAGAACACAGGGAAATGATGGGAAACAAGGTGGCTTGAATCATTACATGGAAAGCCACATGGGAAATCACAGCAACATTGGAGATTGTATGAGCTTCAAAGCTCACGGCCATCAAGGAAATCATGGAAATGTGATCTTAAGAGCTCATAAAGGAGCTTACATGGAAGCTCAAGGCTTCCTGATCTTAATAGGCTACGGATTGGACCTCATGAAGCATGGAAGTCACGGCAAGGCCAACACAAAGAAAGATCCTCACGGCTTGATCCACTAAGTGAGATAAAAGGTTCAATTCAAAAGTCTATGATGAGTCAACTTCAAGGTGCACTTGGACTATATGGATGGAATATCTCTATGTCATGGGCCAATAAACTCAAGAGAGACTTTTCCAAGTTTATGTTAAGGGATGGATCTATGAAGAATGGAGACTTGGGCCAAACTTTGAAGATCTAGAAAGAGGAAAACCGAGCCTATCAAGTCAAGAGAAGAGGCAGCCACTAAAGTGTCTAAGAATTCAAGAAACCCGAGCAACCAATAGTCCTACACATTATGGCCTTGTGGAAAGCCCTTTTCCAAGAGTTTTTATCATCAAAACCGAGTCTCAAAGTATCTTAAAGTTTAGGGACAGTCAGGCAAATAATTATCCACATGATAGACATCAAGAGTCATCAAGATCTTGGACTCTTGGACAAGTAATCAACTCGCCAATCACTCTTGTTATCATGGGATGGATGGATTATAAAGCATATTAAAGACATGGAGGATCAAGAATTCTTATTTTATAATGATACATGGCAGATTCATTCATGATAACTCGTTCAAAAGGAATCCTTAAGATTATGAACAACTTGGATTTATACATGAGAAAATTTTCTCTCTCACGAGAATTTTTCTCCTACTTTATCTCTTCACAAACGGTCAGCTTCTTCTCGAGAGAAGAGCATCTGTGTCCACTGCAACAGTCAGCCTTCACTGCTAGCAGTGGAGCACAGTCCAGCTCCTGCTACTAATTTTTCCAGGTTTTTTGCCTCTCCATCACCAAGCCATTTAAAGAAATGAACTCATATCAATGGAGATATTGTCGATAAGAATTTTATGTTAAAGAGAATACTATGCTATATAAGACATTCTATTATTTACAATTCTAATAATAAAATAATATCATCTAATTAGAATTTTTTAAAAATAAAAATAATTTCCTATATATATGCTAAGTGTAACAATACAATTAAAAAAATAGAATATTTTTTTCTTCAAAAATCTTCATGGTATCATAACCAAATAAATCTATTTTAATATTTTAATTTTAGAATTTTTTCCAAACCCTAAAAATAGCAAAAAAAAGCCAGATCAGAGGAAGTAGCCAAACTTCTTCCGTCGCCAGTAGGAAGTTTCTGGCAACGATCTGCTTCACTTCACAGATGCGTCACCAGCCGCGTCTTCACAAGCCCGAGCCGAGCCGCTTGCGGCAAGCCGATCGAACTTTAAGCCTGAGTTGAGCTATTGTTGAGCCAAGCCGTTTTTGAGCCAAACCATTTTTTAGTCGAGCCATTTTGTTGGTCAAGCTGTTTTTTGAGGCGATCTGTTTTTTTTTCGAGCCATTTTTTGAGCCAAGTCGAGCTGTTGTCTGATATATATAGTTCTAGTTTACAACACTTTTTGGCATTCTTTGGTACTAATTAGAAGATATGTTCTTCATTACTAGATATTGTTTATTCTTATTTTTAGTACTCTAAAATAACATAATAAAAAACAAGTGAGTGTTTCTAGTTTTGAAAATCCTTCATTACAAATCAGTCTCATAAAATATGATAAAACTAATTATCTTACTTGATCGAGATCTTATTTATTTTTTCATCAAATTTAGAGAACTGCAAGGCTACATTATTGAGGAGGTGAAGACACCAGATGTTTATAATTTAGAATATAATAAATAGAACTGTAAAAGCTCCTTAATAATTTCATGACTTATCAATTTCATGCAACTCCACATTGGCAGAATATATCTATTGTTTAATACTGTCGAAAAAAAATGAAATGCAGCGTCTCTTACGTACTCACAAATAGGTCATTAGACACCTAAATTAATAAACTCGATAATAAAGTTCATAGCACAAAATAAGGAGAGATGACTATTGTTCAATATTTTTCTAAATTGAGAGGATTATAACAGAAATTAGATTGTTATCAATACTTTCAGGCAAAATGTCCTTCAGATACAGTCAAATTTTAAAAATTAATAGAAAAAAAACAATTTTATGATTTCTTAACTGGTCTAAACATCGAATATGATCAAATACGGATTCAGGTGCTTGGTAAGGATCATCTTCCCTCATTAGAACACATTTATACTTGTGTCTAGTAAGAAAAAAATAGAAAAAATACCATATTTTACATTGCACCATTTGCGAAGGCTGGATTAGTTGTTTAGTCTAACCAATCCAGAAATATATAGAAGTATGCCTATTGTAGCAAACGAAAACACACAAGTGAAACTTGCTGGAAATTGCATGAAAAACCAATTAGGGGTCTTGAAGGAAAAGGAGGTGAAACCACAAGAGCTCAAACAAATTTTGTTGAAATCAGAAAAACACCTGACTCACCATCCGTTGGAACTTTTTTAATAGAAGAGATTCAAACCTAAAGCGTCTTCTAACTCAACTTAACTCTTCATCAACTGTTGGCACATCAAATGTGGTAAAATAAAGTATTTCTCATCTTCATCATATTTTCACTCTTAATATTTGAATTATAAACTCTAAAGCTAACAGACACATGACAAACTCTATCAAAGAATTCCTAACTAATTTTTTTTGTCCTGACGGAGAAAATGTCCATATAGCATATGGGTCATACACGCTCGTGTTTGCAACAAGTTCTATTAATTGTACCCCTACTATTACATTGTCTTCAATTTTATATATACTTAATTTTTTTAACAACTTTTTATCTATTAGTGTCATTACTAGAGATTTCAACTATAAAATTAAATTTTTTCTTACTAGAAGCCGTGAAAAAAGAGGAAGGCCCACCATTCACTAATAAGGCAAGGCTGGTTGTAGTGACACAAGATTTGATCTAATTTCTCCATTTATCGCCAAAACCCATTCTTTGCAGCAAATAATCTAGAAATTTCCATTTAACATGATCGAAAGCCTTTTCCATGTCCAGTTTGCATAAGATACCTTTCTTATTATGTCGAATAGTCTCATCCACAAGCTTGTTAGCAATAAGGATGGCATCAATAATCTGTCTCCCATTAACAAACGTGTGCTGAGAATTACTTATTATATATTTCAGCACACTTGTAAGTTTATAAGCCAAAACTTTCGATAACAGTTTGTAAATGCAACCAATAAGACTAATAGGACGATATCATTGATATTCTTGGATTGATTTTTTTTTTTGGATCATAACAAGAAAGAGTTGAATTAATAGAGCGAACAAGTTTACCATGAGCATGAAAATCCTTAATGAAATCAAGAATGTCCGGCTTAATGACCTTCCAAAAAGTTTGAAAAATTTTGATGTTGAATCCATCCGGACCCGTGACTTTATGTTCATCACAATTTTTCAAACAAGACCAGATCTCTTCCTCGGAAAACTCCTCCTCCGGTAGATTTTTTTGAGCCTCATCAAAACTATTGAAGAAGAAGTGGTCAAGTTTGGGCCTATAATTGTTGCTTTCTTTATACAGTTTCTGAAAATGTTCGTTTGCCCCCTCTCTAAGAGTCTCCTTAC